CACTCCCCACCCCCCAGTTTGCTTGGAGTAAGGCTCTAATACAGCTTCTAGTTAGAATAGGGGGTAGTTTGCCTCTGCCACTGAACTAATGAGAATTGGCCCCAAGGTGTAAGCTGTCCCTAGTTGTAGTCATATAACTTAGGTTTATTTTTCCTAAAAGAAGTATTATTTGTTCTTCACTACTAAAGAAACTTATTTTCCTAACATATAACTCAAAAAATACCAATAACTCATAATTTTACTGTGAAACTCACGTATTTTATTTGAGTTTTTAAAAAATTATTCAATGTGTGGATATATCTTTTTTTAAATAAGTTCACATTATGTACAGTATATTGCTTTGTAACCTACTTTTTTCACCTCAATACCTTCAAGTACCTATTCATAAGAGACACACTTAATATCATGTTAAAAGAATGACTGTGGTAACTTATTTAAGAAATCTCCTATTATTGGACATTTAGATTATTACTAACTTTTTGCTAGGGTTCAGACAAATTCTAAGACACATAATAGTTGGTTCAAATAAATGTATTTAAGGCTTTTAAAATATTCTGTTAAATGTCGCAGTAGCAATTTACATGACCAACCATGTATAATAATGCAAGGTGTTATTAATCCATGTATTATTCTTGTTAATATTTCTCCAAGTGTGGTGACTGTGGAGGAAAGATATGGCATCACATGGTGTGAGTTCAGGGACCGGTTGTTTTGGGGTGAACTTAGACGCTAGATGCCAAACAGAAGAGGCAAACCATACCCTGACCATTGAGAAGCATGCCAGGATCACTTGTTAAGGTGCTAGATATAAACTCGATTTACCTTCCATTGGAATAGTCCATCAACCCTACCCCTTTATCTACTATAGAGAAACAAACTTGGGTGCAAGTTATAAACTGTGTCATAAACACATAGTGCTGAGTAGATATTAACTGTGCTGGATGTTGTCTGAAAACTGATTGACAAGTTATCTGGCAGTCTTCTAAAATTTAGATTTAGGATCATGGGCAAAGAGACCTCAGATAAGTAGAAATTTGAATTTAGGGACAGCCCTTCCTGTTGGACAAGGTACGTCCCTGTACCTCATTACTCTGTGTTCAGACAACATGAGCTTTGGTATCAACCATTTTCAATTAAATTTATCGCTCTACACTTCCTGAATTATCTGAATAAAGCTCTCCTAGAGTCTTTTTAAATGCAAAGATGCTAAATCTCTAGGACTGGGTTGAATTTGGGAATCAACATTTAAACTGACTCTCCAGGTGATTCTTAGAAATTATAATGGTTGAAAACGACCACTTAAAACTCTTGGTAATAACATTATATATTGTTCTATTTTTAATTACTTTATCATCTCTTTATATTTCTCTTCTATTGATGTTGCTTTTTCATGTTCCTAGACCAATTACCTATTTTTGTGTGTATTTTTTGCATTCAAATATATGACATAATTTTATTATTATTTGTTATTACTATTCAGTTTTAAAACTTGTGGTCAACAAATTGAAGTTTAGGATATTTTTCTTTTTTTCAGGAAAATGTCCCTCCAGAAGTTAATTTCTTTTGCTCTTAGTATTAAAATACCTCTCTTTATCATTTGTTATAAATATCTGAAAAACATACTTTAAACATTATACCTCTGACACCTTGACCATTGTGTTAAATACAGCTTTTTACAATTGACATTGCATAATTATGAATGAAAGCATTGTTGACTGAGATAGAATAGAAGTAGGTCTGCTTGGGAAACACCTTCTCTTAGAGATCAATAACTATCAGGTTCACAAATACCAATGTTTAATATTTTGCAAGAGAAAAAAATATTTATTTGGTGTTTGTTTCAGGTATATCCAAGGAGCTGCATCTCCTAAAGACATGCTTATCCTGGTTGATGTGTGAGTATTTAAATATTACATATTTATTTATATACTGAGAATATAGGGAGGAGTCATAGATAATAGTAATGTGTTGGGGCTGAGAAATGACTGATAGGTTGGGGAAAAAAAAGGATGAAGAACTATTATGATGACTTCTGTATGCAAAGAGGCCATATTAAGATAGTAACAAAACAAACAAAAATTATCTTAATTGAAAATGAGGAATCTGTTTTGGAATTAAAAGCTATGGCATGGTTCTAAACCCTGAGTTTTTAAAAAAATTATTTATTTGCTTTCAATTTTTGTCTTTATATTTAAAACAATATTAAGGTACATGGTTGCTAAAACTAAGCAGTTCCTGCAACCAAAAAATAAATAAATAGAATCATTTAGTTGGCACTTAGTCATTAATGATTAAAATAACATTTAAGGGTTTGGCCACAAAATAGATAAATATTAATGTCTTAATTGTCAATACTGGGAATTTTTCAAGTCATTTGATGTGTTATATTGCTTCAAATTAAAGTGTGTGTATGTGTGTGTGTGTGTGTGTGTGTGTGTGTGTG